ATATATATATATATATATATATATATATATATATATATATATATATGCCCTATATATGACATACGATAATGGTCCTGAAAATATTACAAGTCATTATTCAGAATGTCAGATTATCACCCCATTAGTCCACTAAATGTGGTCGTCACGTGACGTTCTGGTCACGTGATGTTCTGGTCAGGGGATGTTCTGGTCACGTGATGCTCTGGTGCATCGATCTGTTACAATTCTGTTTGTCCCCCTTAGCCCCTCACCACCGCCCTTTCCATGTTTCCAATAAATTTGCGGCAATATTCGAAAATGAAGGGCAGCATTCGGAACTATGCGGGCCTCGAATTCCTTTGATTTGCTTGTGATAGAGAATAGATTTTGTTTCGATACTCTAAAAAGAACGATCTCTCTATGTCTCTCTCTCTCTCTCTCTCTCTCTCTCTCTCTCTCTCTCTCTCTCTCTCTCTCTCTCTCTCTCTCTCTCTCTCTCTCTCTCTCTCTCTCTCTCTCTCTTTCTCTATTTTTATAACATGTATATGCTGAGTGTATACGACTTTCTCGTTTTGTGTATTATATATATATAATGTGTATATATCGTATTCATTTTTGTGTATCATATGTTATTATCAATGGCAAAGACTTCATACCTTGGGCTCCCAATAGAATGGACAAGTCATGAGACTTCATACCTTGGGCTCCCTATAGAATAGACAAGTCATAAGACTCTATACCTTGGACTCCTTGTATAATGGGCAAGTCATGAGACTTCATACCTTAGGTCTCCTTTTAGAATGGTCAAGTCATGGTCAAGTCATGGTTCATTCGTTGTGGAGTCTCACCTTACAAACAATGACAGCTGGCATAGCAAGAGGCACTGCCATTGACCTATATTAGGAACTATTAAGCCCTGGCTTTCTTTGACCCTTCCCAATACGCCGACCAGTCACATCGCTGTCATGTGACACATCTATTTACAGAATGATTTCATTTTAAATTATTTCTTTCACCTGTCACATATTCCAATGTTATTTATTGAACATTTCTTGTACAACCAATTTTTTATATATTTTTTTTTTAAAGTTTAATTATGATATTATTATTGCTTTAAATTCGTACAACCTTGTCTTAAATAAGACCCTGTCTCATGTTAACCCCGCCTTAAGTTGACAATGTGTAAAATTGCTCCACGGTATGCCGGGAGGGGGTTAGAGTGACCTTGAGGTCACGTGGTATTTACTCTTGTTGCACGTCATGATTGGTGTCTTCTCATAATCGCCAGCCTTATAATTGACATTCCTTTTTTATTGCGCGTTTACGTCATTTACAAATGCATTCCACTGCCCAACTGCCCCCACCCACCCCCCACCCTTCCCCCCCCCCTTTTTTTTTACAATCATAATCTTATCATCCTTACCTGATCATCTTCAACTCATCACTAACTTTTCACCATCATCCGCACTCACCATTTCCTTATCATCACCATCCTCTGATCACCCATAGCATTCTCAGTGTACCTGAACTATGTTGTACATATTTAATGACCTTCTGATCAACCCTAGCAGCCCATCTGTTCCTGACCTATGTTGTAAGATATTTAATGACCTTTTGATCAACGAAGAAAATAATACGCCATTTTTGCGTATTGATCTATGCACGGTGTTAACAGGTTACACAATTAAAACACTTTACGAAAAATAAAAAATGTCTCTACCATTCTTTAATGTGTCTGTTTGTTTGTTTGTTTGTTTGTTTGTTTGTAAAACTTGACGGTTGCTCTGTTATCCCGATAAACACAACAGCAAAAAATAATTAAAACGTTGATATCTTGGGTACTGGGCGAATGGTGTAAAGAACAAAAAAATAAATTTAAAAAAAAAAATAAAAAAAACAGAGAAAGAGAAAATAGTCCCAAATTATAGCACCGCATCACTTGCACGCTCAACTGAAAAGTTGGTTTTGAATTCTGCTACAGATAGCGAGATACAAGAATACACAAAAAAGAACAATGAGGAGTTTACTAATGCGTAAACTATTTTATTTTAAAAGCCTTTTCAAATGCTTCATAACCGCGTCAAGCTGTCTTAAAACTAGAATAACAATCATAGCAGCAAATTAAACATTGATTTGACCGGCATATTGCTTCAAGCTGAGTTTGACGTGAATTGTCCTAAGTCCATTCTTTAATATTGGACGTTTAAAAAGAAGACATTTGTAGATTCCTTGTAAAGTTTCCTGGCTGTAAAAAAAAAAAATAAAAAAATTTACGACCGTTTACCATAAAAAAATAAAAGTTTGTAAGTTTTTAAAATAAATGAAAAGGTTTCCCCCCCCCCCCCCCCCCCCCTTTCCCTGTTTTTTAGGCACTACGTACCGGACCACTGTCGTACTATTCAACCTCTGGATGAACATCTGTATCAAATATATATCATTTTTTAAATTATTTTCTACCATAAACTTTCGCTGTCGTGGATTTCTTGGTGATACACATACGCGCACACTCACACACACACACACACACACACACACACACACACACACACACGTGCAAACATCCACACATTCGATTCATCTTCTTTGATCAAACTACAGGTGGCGACATCAGTACCTGGAAGATGATGAAGACATTTATTTTAAAATAGAAGATCATTAAGAACAGAATATATCAAACTAAACCCAGTATAAGGATATATGTGTGTGTGTGCGTGCGTGTATGTGTGTGTGTTCAAAATGCCTTTAAATCATTGAAATCATCGCGTGGATGGACATCAGTTACAATAGTGCGATAGAGGATGAAACGTGAAGGGTGTGTGAAGGGGAGCCTCCCGGGTTTGTCGCTGTTTGTGGGTTTTTTTTTCAGCGAGGTCACCGGGCCGGGGGGTGGGGGGGGGGGTGGGGGTCAACAGCCTCCGGGGCAAGAGTGGCAACACTAAGGGAGAGGGATTTTTTCTTTACATTTTTAAACAGAGATAAACTTGATAAGGTGAAACGGGAGAGACATTTTAATAAATAGTGAGACTGACCCCCCCCCCGCCACCAATGTCGCCCCCCAACCCCCGCCCCCCCACCCCAGCCCCCAATGTCCCCCCCCAACTCCCACCCCCCAGCCACCAATGTTGCCCCCACCCCCCAGCCACCAATGTTTCACACCAACCTACTATGAACAATGTTATAATTCAACGAAGTGTCCAATTTGACTTGAACAGATCCGTACGCCAACAATGAACTGAACAGAACTGCCTTAGTGTTTATTTTAAGCCCTTTTTTTAAGTCCACTATTTATATGTTCAAGCTGCATACAATATTAAGACTATATGTATTTATATTCCTTACGCCCGAAGCACCTTGATGTCTCAAATTTGACTATGGGCACGCAGAATTTCCAATCCACTGTTCATT